TTTATGTAACTTGTTAAGGAACATCAGGAACATTTATTTTAATACTATCATAATACCATTTATACACTTTGTGTAAATGTGTCCTTGCAGTTTCTCTCACTGCTTTTATGAGTTTCTGTGGTTCATTTTATTAATGCTTTCAATTTTCATTTGAAAATTGGATTGAGGAGGCCTTTGAATTACTGCTTGGAGTCAGTGTTTCCAGCTCTTTGCAGTGTATTGACCTGACTACTTTTATCCTTTGGTGTTACAGCCTTGTGTGTGTCTGTCTGTATGTGTCTGTCTGTGTGTGTCTGTGTCTGCCTCTGATGTTCCTGGCGGGGCATCCTAAGAATTTGCAGCAGTTCCTTTCATCTCTCATTTCATTTTTTTTTTTTTTTTAATCCACATATCTTAAATTTAGGCATATCTTTATGTGGCATGTTCGGAATTGGCAGATTCACCAGTCCTTGATGTCTATCAGAACTGTAATAGGTATAAGAGTTTTTCATCACGCTAGCGGATGTCAGTCGGCCTGTCCACCACTTTGATCCAGACTGAAATGTCTCAACAACTATTGGATGGATTGTGGCAAAATTTAATACATACATTCATGTCTCCCTCGGGATGAACTGTAATAACTTCAATGGAGGGAAATCAGTGGATCACCAGTCAAACTTTTAATTTGTCAAATAGTATTATTATTATTATTTTTTTAATTTTGCTTTATGATCAAACCTACAAAGCTAACATTTCCTTCTGCCTTAGTTGTACTTTGTACTCACTAAATAGCAAATGCTAACATGCTACATTAAGATGGCGAACGTGGTAATATGGCAACAACGTGCCTACAATATACCTACAAGACTGTGACTGCATGTGTTTGTTTACTCAAGCCAATTTTACTTGTTAATACACACTGTGAGGTTTATGTATCCGTGTTTCACAGCCTGACTGTTGCACAGGGTGGGCGGCAGGGTGACACATTTATTATCTCCCTAGTGTGCCCAAAACTATTGACCAATGAGCAGATCCCATGTGGGGGGAAGGTGCTTAATTCAGAGAAGACACACACAGACATACACACACAATTATAATGAGGTTACAGCAAGAGGGACTTCATCTACAGCTGTCCCTAGTGAGGAGGCGATGACATCATTGCCGGGAATCCCTCCACCAGCTGTCCTCTGACATCACCACGACCACGAAGCGTGTATGTGTGTGAATCACATGCCACAGTTGAGTTTTTTTTGTTGTTTTTTTTAGTTGTCTTGATCACACTCACTGTGTTTGTCCTCTCTCCTAATGGCTCTTAAAAGCTTTACCCTGGTTTACAGCTGTTGGACATATTTATTTGGGGTTGTGTGGAATGACAAAGTTTGAAATTGGAGATGTTAGTGGCCTGGTTCCTGTCAGAGGTGCTACAGACCAGCCAAGTGTCAGGGCTCTGACACGGTCTTAAATAGTCATTAGTGGTCTTATTTTTTTTATCCATGCGCTGACAGCTTTCTATGCAGTTTTATCTTGCAAAGCCAGCTTAAATTTGTGGGAGGTGCTGTATAGATTTGTGATAAATGAGCTGTGGTCATTTTTGCATACCTGGGATACACACACAAACCACTGCTGTCCATCTGTCTTCAGTCCCTCTGATGTTTTTAACACAGCTGTGGAACTCTGATTTCAGATGTCAGTTTTCTCATTTCTAACTTTGGAGCCCAACAGTACAATTGTTTCCTATAAGCGATATTGATTTTTTTAGAAGTTTCTAAAGGAGTTATTTCTCCTCAGTTTGCCAACCTTACTTTACGCACCCAATCTCCTTGTTCCACAGCTGTTTGACACATTTTGCAGTTGCGGTTTAATTTTTGCTTTAACATTCGTTCTTTGGTAACATTAAAGCAATAGACATTTTGGGAAATGTGCTTATTCACTTTCTTGAAGAGTTAGATGAGAAGATGAATACCTCTCTTGTTTCTCTCCATTAAATATGAAGCCACAGCTAGGAGACTGTTAGCTTAGCCTAGCATAAAGACTGCAAACCGTATTATGTCTTATGGGGGGTTGAGTGCCAGACTGTTTCTAGGCCAGTTGACGCTGTCAGGAAGTTACTGTGCCTGGCAATGAAAAAGTCCAGCATATAACTCCATGTAATGCCGCAACCTTTCATTTTTACTCTTTTGTTTAATTCATACAAAAACCAATGATACATAACGTGCTAATTGGTGAGCTTTAAAGGTACTGTTAAGCAGATTTTGAAACCTTTTGGAACCAGGATAGCTGTTTTCCTTTTTCCAGTCTTTATGCTATGCTAAGCTAAAACATATTACCCTCTGCAAGCAAAAGAATAACCGTATTTCCTAATATGTTGAACTATTTCTTTAAAGGTCCACTGTGTAACATTTAGGAGGATCTTTTGGCAGAAATGGAATATAGTATTCATTGGTATGTTTTCATTAGTGTAAATCACCTGAAAATAAGATTTGTTGTGTTTTTATAACCTTAGAAAGAGCCGATTATATCTACAGAGGGAGCCAGGTTTATACTGTAGCCCAGAACAGACAAACTTAACACTGGCTTTCGATAGGGCCTTCTGCATTTTGTGTGGGTCTCATGGTCACCGAAGTTTCTTCTACATACTTGGAACGGGAAGGTGAGGCAGGGTGGTTGTAATCAGCAACTACACCACGAAATCCTGCACACTGGTCTTTTAAAGGGTGCATTAATTGTGCTTTATTTAATTTGTCTCTCACTGTGTTGGTCTCTCTCTCTCTCTCTCTCTCTCTTTGTGTGGACTTGTGGTTCATGACACATGAGTGAATGTTCCCCTCACACCTCCACCTCCAGCTGTCTAAGCCATGTGTTATTGCAGTGAATAAAACCAGGGACAGGAAGTGACAACACTGAAGGAATGCTAGTATAACTCTCAGCTGGGCCTCCGGGGAATTAGGAAAGGGAGGGGAACAAGAAAGAGGGATTTAAGTTAGGAGAATAAAGAGGAGGGCAGGTACGTTTCTGAACAGGAGTTGGAGGAAGAAGGGTTACCAAGACCTGAAGGAGAAGAGAAAGGAGACAGCTGAGGAATGTTGGTATTAAAACTCTACTGGACGCCCCAATGGGGAAAACAAGTGGATTCAGGCAGAGATGGGGAAAGGAATTGTAGTTACCTTTCCTCTAACCACAAAGCTGTTAGAAAGTAGTGGAAAGACATTTTAAATAAAGTGTAGAATGCATCACACATCACTGATTTCTTGAGTGTCACACAAGGATTGAGTGTGGACGGATAAAGGGAAAGCAAGGAGGAAAGCAGAAATTAAGATAAGTGGATTTGTATACAATTCTTCCTGGGACTGCAGGGAACAGGACAGAAAAGACCTGCGTCAGTCGAGTAGATATGAACAGGAATGAAAAGAGGAGGACATTGAAAGTATTGAGTTATAATATTTATCTTCTCACAGTAAAAAGTGGATTCATAATAATATAAAACAATGGTGGTAGGAGTATAGAAAATCTGCTTTCTGCACAGTCAAATACAAACATGATAACTCCCCAGATTTCCTCTTATTTTTCTGCATTTTTAATCCACATTCCTAAAGGCTTATGTAAGCAGTGTACTTAAGTGTGTCGGTATTGCTCACAAGTGTGTGTGTGTGTGTGTGTGTGTGTGTGTGTGTGTGTGTGTGTGTGTGTGTGTCTGTCTGTGTGTAGCTGGCTTCTAGCGTGTGTGCTAATTTGCAGTTTAGACCAATTTAGCCTAGTCGTGTCCACGGCGTCACAGTTCTTGATTGCAGCTTTTATTTTGTCAGCTCAGCTTCATTTACTGGACTAACAAAGAGAGTACTCTGTGAAGATTGCCGTTGATTTTACACACACACACACACACACACACACACACACACACACACACACACACACACACACACACACACACACACACACACACACACAGAGTGGTGGTTTGGAGGATCTGCGTCATCTGGTGTTGGTAATTGCTGTGAGCTTTGTTATAGTGTTCTAATTTCTCCCCTACTATTAGACCTAACTAGTGCGTTTCTTCTGGTTTACAGTTCAGAATTACCAGTTTAACAGTTCATAGTCCTCCCAGTCGTGTGTGTGTGTGTGTGTGTGTGTGTGTGTGTGTGTGTGTGTGTGTGTGTGTGTGTGTGTGTGTGTGTGTGTGTGTGTGTGTGTGTGTGTGTGTGTGTGTGTGTGTGTGTGTGTGTGTGTGTGTGTGTGTGTGACATTTTCTTGTTTCATGTTAAAGTTTTGACACATCTGCTGTTTACTTGACCAAACTGTCATAACATACAAGCAGTGCATATTTTTAAACCATGATGACAGTCTGACTGGTAATCCTGACAGTGTTAGTGCAAAGCTTCCAAGGAGGTAGACTGAATAGGGACAGTAAAAATGATATTTCAAGAAGAAGTGGTGTAATACAATGTGTCTCTGTTGGATTTTATCCAGTAAGAGGAGGTGGGGAAACACGGTGTACACATGTACAGTGTGTACTATTGATGTATAAATATTGTTCATGGTGGCGTAATGCACTACATTTTGTGTGAAATGAGCAATAAATGCCTCCATCTTCTCGTATTCACATTTCTTGATATCGTTTCTTATTAGAGACAGTCATATTCCACAGCACATTATTAGTACTGATGTACTGAGTCGAAGAATATTATAACCGGTTATGCGAATACTGCAGAGTTATAAGCAACCCATTAGTGTCTCTAATGGGTTCTGTATATACACAGTCTTGTCACTGCATGTACTGTTATACTACATATAAAAAGACTCCCACACTTTGTATTACTGAGATAACTGTCCTTGTCCCGCCTGAAATTGGCTAGATCCATTAAATTATTGCCAAAACACACGGCGAGCGCACACAGCTGAGTTGTGGATTTGCTGCATGTGCTGGCTCTGGAGACCTCTAAGCTAATGTATAGCTCCGTTAGTCTTGCCACTGTACAGCGTAAAAGTTTTCTCTGTTGTGAATTTCCTTGACGGAACCCTTGCAGCTACGGGGCCCCTGGTGTGGAGTTCACAGGACTACACAAAGACACCACTGCTGTCACACAAATCCACTTCCTGCCTGGACAGGTAAGCTCCATGCTGCTTGTTTTCTGACTGCAAAGACCCCTGTGTGACGAGAAGAGAAAAGATGAGAGTGGTGGCCATAGTAATGTGTGACTTTTACTTTGCTCTGTAACAGGGCCGCCTGCTCTCACTACTGGATGACAACACGATTCACCTGTGGGAGCTGGTGGCCGGGACCCCTAGAGATGTGGGCGGGGTTAAGAGAGAGGGCGTGATCTGTCTACAGGAAGTGGGCAGCTACAGCCTTCCAGGAAGACCTGGCATTGAGAGCTGCAGGTACAATAGAGCCTGTTCATACAGCTTTAGATCATTCCTTTTTTCAACCAAATTTTTATTGTTATTATTATTTTTATTATTATTCTTTTCTTAAACTGGCTGGTTATTAGAGAACCTTGCGATTATGACAAAATGTCTGAATTTGTCACCAGAAGCAAATGTGTCACGTCTTGTTTTTAATTTAAATAAATCTTCACTCTACTCATTTTAACACTACCTCCTCCTCTTCTTCTCAGTGCCACTCGGGTGACCGTCCTCCTCTTGCTGAGGTCATGTGACCTGCTCTGCATTGGAACAGAAGGAGGGGGCGTGTACTTTCTGGAGTTGCCTCGCCTCTCACTGAAGGACAGCCAGACGCTGCTCCAGGATCAGGTCACGCAGAGGTGAGACTGTCACGTGAATGAAGATCAGTGAATAAAAAGTAAAATGAAATGGAATATAGAGCCAAGTAAGGGTTGATCATTGTGAAGTGCATCCCATGTTAATCCTACGCAGTTTCTCCCTTTTTATTGCCTGAAATTCTCTTCTCGACTCAGTCTTCATCCCCTCCTCTCCATCCCTCTCACAGTATGTCTTCTTTTAAACACTAAACACTCCAGTTTCCTCAGCTCACAGCTCCAGCTGAGCAGGTCGGACACACACGCACAGAAACAAATATCCCTATTGACCCTAGCAGCAGCAGGCAGGTCAGGGTTGTGTGGTTCAGGGACCATGAGAACAGTCAGATCTGCTGAACGCTGTTTGGAGAAACACTGAAAAAAAAAAATTCTCTTTGCAGTTTGTCAGGTTGTACTGAATAATAAGTTTCTGGATGTGGTTTGAATGAGGAGCACTGAATCAGAGGAAGGTAATGGTGTTAGAATTGGAACAGAACTGAGATGTAGAGGCATTTGTTTTGGGACATGGTTGCATTGGATATGTACAGGAAATCTTGTGTGTGAATTTGATCAGATGTTTTGAGGCGAGGATGAGATAAAAAACAGTGCAGTACAATAAAATACCTACAGTATGCTGTCAATATCATTAAAGTTGAGCTTAATAAGCAGCAAACCTGAAAACCTTTTTCTGAATCAGCTTCTTACTATAAGTAATGTTTGAGTTCTATATGAACTCAACATTTTCTGCTAAAGTGACGCATGATACATTTCTGTATTTGTGATTTTATTGGTGCTCTTCTCACTAGTTTGAATAAAGGGAGACTCAGTTGACCAAAGGTGATGTCACATACATCTGTGTGCCAATCAGGATTTAGCAACATTTGATTTAATTGTTGCAGGCTGCTTGCTTCTGTTGCCAGGCCACTGTCAATCAAATCTGATCAGTCCACACCCACACAGTCCTGAAGAAGCAGATTAACTGAGATTTGTCTAAATAAATAATAATTAATCATTAACATTGATTATTACTTATATAGACATGAGCATTAAACGTAATAAAGACAAACTTTAGGTTTGAAACAAAGTTTTCAGGGGTTTTAAACCTTCAAAAAGCTCTTTGGTAGTCAACTAGATTTCAGTCAGTTGGCTGCTATTGTGAACTGAAGTATTTAGTAGCTGTGCGAATTGCTGATGCATCAGTTGTAAACACTGCAAACTTACATAATGTGGCAAAGGGGAATGGCTCATAATTCATAATATGCCAAAACAGTGGAAAACTGCCCAAACAAAGAGGGACTGTGGTCACAAACAGGCCAATACCAACACCGGGTGAAAGAAGTGTAATTGTATCACTGCAGGGCTATTGTGTTGTGTGGTGTTTCTGTTATTTTGTCCAGCCCCTCAACATTCATGCAGTGTAGTGTGCAGCCATGTACGAGAGTGCAGTGAACTGGAGCAAAACACAGTGTGAGTGGAGCACAGGCACCAGACCTTCAGGACAAACTGCAGTTTTGTGTATTTTAACATGAGAAGGAAACCTAATGGGAAATAATCCTGCTACCTCACACTGCTACAAATATGTACAAACTCTGTAATGTTATTTTACATTTCACAGAATGTACTTTCTTTATTTTTCATGCTGCAGCCTTCGTCGCTGCATTGCTGTGTCGATACACTGGCAGAGTATCGCAGAGCTTCTGTGTGTTTCTTTCTCATTCCTCTGTGTGACTGTCTGACTGGTTGACCAAACCCCTCATTAACCAGGCTTGTTTAGGGAAGTGGGCAGAACTGAGGCCTAACGAGGGCCCTGATAAGGCTTGTGCGTGTGTGTGCGTGTGTGTGCGTGCGTGTGCGTGCGTGCGTGTGCGTGCGTGTGTGTGCAAAGGAGGGAAGGTTTTAGACAGTGAGGCTTTGTACAGATTGCCAAAACACAGTGTTCCGGTTGGGGAAGTGTTTCAGCTGAATCTCCACACACACACACACACACACACACACACACACACACACACACACACACACACACACAGGCTCATCACCGGGACTCTGTAGCAGGATGCTGGATTCCCTAAAAATACTTGTGAACGGAGAGACGGAGACAATGGAATGCTTTGTCGGGAATGTTTCTGCCTCGGTGCTTCCGGAGAGGATCTTCCTCACTGAACACTACCACAGTAGTCAGAAGGGGGTGTGTGTGTCTGTGCGTGTGTGTTTGTCAGTCACAGAGGCTAACCATCTCTTTTTGCAATGATCTGTCGCTGCCTAGTCTGCAGCAGAGAGCCCAGAAAGCTGCATTGCCCTCTTCTCCTTCCCTCTGTTTGTTTCTTTTCATTTTCTCTTTCTTTCTTTCTTTCTTTCTTTCTTTCTTTCTTTCTCTCTCTCTCTCTCTCTCTCTCTCTCTCTCTCTCTCTCTCTCTCTCTCTCTCTCTCTCTCTCTCTCTCTCTCTCTCTCTCTCTCTCTGCTGTTTCCTCTCCTTTCTTCTTCTGTCTTCTCCCCCTCTTTTCACTGTCTTTTCGCTGAGGGAATCCTCTGACATCTTGAGGGTGTGTCCCGACTCTACATTCCTCTGCTGCCCCAGAGGAATGTCTAGTTCACATGCTCCAGCAGCTCAGCTCAAGCTTGATGTTAATGTCACTGCTGCTGCTGCTGCTGCTGTTGTTGTTGTTGTTGTTGTTGTTGTTGTTGTTGTTGTTGTTGTTGTTGTTGGAAGAGCAGCCTGTGGTGGTATTAGAGTTATACAGATGGTTTGAGCTTGGTGCTGATTATGTTTTTATATATTTTTAACACTTTTGGAGTTTTGCTTTGGGTTGTTTTTGGTGCAGAAGAACAAGATGGCTTTAGAGTCTCTCTGCTGTCCATACTCCATGTTCTACTTACCAACTGGATTATCAAAAAGCACAGATTTATCCTCCTCTCCTTCTATCATTTACACAAATATAGCTAATTACAAACACAGTACACATAACAAAATTGTCCAAGCTTAAAGGTCCACCTATTTAGGGTTGCAAAATTCCGAGAATTTTCAAAGTTGGAAACTTTCCATGGGAATTAACAGGAATATATGGGAATTAATGGGAATAAACGGGAATTAATGGTAATAAACTGGATATTTTTAATATTGGTTGTTATAATACTGTTGGTCTATAACAGGGAACTTACATGTAGTTGAAAAGAAACATCTTGCAGGATAATCTTGCTTAAAACAACCTGATTTAATGCAACTCCTCCCTTATTGACATGCACACACGCAGTAATCAGCATAGGCTACTATATACTTGCCAACATTTATTTTTTAAAATATGGGAGTTTTTTCTTTTTATGGGTGGGGGGGTGGGGGGGTTAATACATAACCCATTGCTATTAACCTATTTGGATTAATTGTATTGTATAACCATAGCCAAAGTAAATCAAAGGCAGCATGTTAAGCTAAAGGTCAATGGTTTCGGCTACTACTTATGGTGCTATCCATTTGTCTCGTAAATCCCCCGCCCGAGTTGCTCTGCCGCGAGAACGTGACGTAATTCCCTGGCTTGTACCACGTATAGCGTTACATTTGTCTTTGGGCATTACGAGTCAGAAAGAACATGGACGCCACCGGTGCAGCAGCTGTGTTGTTATTGTTTGTGGCTCATCTAAACAAGCTCAATGTGAAATAATAATGTTTTTCTACAGAAACACTAACATTTCAAGTAATTCCGTTATTGCAAGTCTTAAGTTTCAATAATATTTTGCCATCTTCGCCTATTTCAATTTCAACAAGTGCTGTGGCGTTTTTCTCGAGCCACCAGGGGCAGTGGCAGGCTAGTGTTATTGTTTTGCTATTGCTACATTAGCCTATTTAGCAAACCAGCTCGAAAACAAAACTTTATATTGTATTGCACGCACAGCAACACCGTGCAATGCATAAATTGGTGACCGGACTATGTAAACGAGTGTGTAGGAGCATTTGAAATCGACATTAAAACGACCAACATCAATCATCATCATCAACAACAACAAAGAAAATACATTTCAATATTGTATGAATTACCCAACTTTTCCAGTTAATTCTCCTAAATTCCCATTAATTCCCATAATTTCCCAGTAATTCCCATAATTTCCATTAATTCCCATTAAAGTTTCCAAATTGGAATGTTTCCAAAATTCCCCAGCTTAACTTTCCAAAAGTTTCCCTTCGCAACCCTACACCTATTACCTTTGTCCTCACATGGTGAAGATGGTCTTTGGCATTGGATGTAAATGTTGTCAGGCCCAAACTGTTGCTTTGACTAACAGGTCCACCTTTAATCTTTCAGTATTCATTATTTTATCCCCCGTCAACATGGCACACTCCTTTATAGACACTTATTTCACCTCATTTTGACCTATAGAGATGTGTAATTCATAGCATGCCTGGTTACAAACAAGCCACAGATGTGGGATAATGGGTAATGTTTTGTTTTCCCAGCCTGCCAGATGATTACAGATGTGGGAAATCTTTGGGGCCGGTGGAATCTCTTCAGGAACATCCTCAGCAGTCTGGGAAGATTCTGATCGGCTACAGCCGGGGCCTGGTGGTTCTATGGGATCTGAGCGCCCGTCATGCCGAGCAGCTCTTCCTGGGCAAGCAGGTACCTGGTTTACAGAGCAGAGTTTAGTGCTCGTTGGCCAAACATTTTTACTGATTATGTTCCATGCTGAATCTTTCATGATGGTACAATAAAAAAAATTGTTTTACGGTGTGTTAATCTGTGTGTGTGTGTGTGCGTGTGTGTGCGTGCGTGTGTGTGTGCGTGCGTGCGTGTGTGCGTGTGTGCGTGTGTGTGTGTGTGTGAACCCCCTGCAGCAGCTGGAGAGCCTGGTATGGGAACGCTCTGGAAACTTGTTTGTCAGTTCCCATAACGATGGAGGTTACTCCGTTTGGGCTGTTACTAACGGCAACACCTACAATCACCAGCCAGTGTCGTCAACCATTCCATATGGTGAGAAATGCATATATAACAGACAGACACACCCACACACACACATGCGCACACACACGCACAAACAACTCTTTTATGCTTCCCAGCTAATGTCTGTTTGAGACATGTTTAAGCACACTGTCATCCAGGGTCTGGTGGAAGTGGTGGTCTTGTCCACAAAGACCAGCGCCCAGTGACTGACAATGGCTTAATGAACCATGACTGCTGACATATTGTGACTCATAGTGAATCCTTATTATGGTCAGAATTAGCGTGACGATGACGATGATCCAGAATATTTGTGGAACAGTTAAAACTTTAAATACTTTTTCTCTCTCAGTTCTTAACTTTCTCTCTTTTTTGACTTACCCCGCTCTCTCAGGTCCATTTCCCTGCAAGGCCATCAACAAGATCCTGTGGAGGACAACACAGACAGGGTGAGTGTGTGACTCATTTTTTTGCCCTTTTCTGTGTGCATTTGATTCCTATTGGTGTTGTCTCCTGCCCCAAGGGGACCTCAAGATTTGCCACAGTTTACAATAAACAATATACGAATAAAAAGTGATAAAAAAGGAAGAGAGAAATTGGCTTATAATCAACAGCTCATTTACATTTACAGCTCATGGCAGTACTAAACATTTTCATTTATTTATTTATTTTAAATAATGATGCCTGATTATTTATAGATGACAGATGAAATAGAAATCAACAATACTTTTCTGTGTGCCTCACTTCAGTTCCCCAGTGTTGTTATACAGCGGTGGGATGCCCAGAGCCAGCTACGGTGACCGCCACTGTCTGACCATCCAACAAGACAAAGACCACGTCACTCTTGACTTCACATCCCGAGTCATCGACTTCTTCACTGTCCACAGCATAGAGCAAGAGAATGGTAAGGCCAATGTTAATGATCTGTATCTGTGGATCTGTGTTTTCTTCCTCTTTGATTCAAGAATTTACTTTCCCTTTCAGCTGTGTTTTATGTTTACTATCATGTTGTTATGAAAAGTGTAATATAGTCCAAATGTTGTCTGTTCTCTGCCATTCACAGAGTACGATGACCCATCAGCCTTGGTAGTGTTACTGGAAGAGGAGCTGGTTGTGATCGACCTCCAGACCCCGGGGTGGCCAACTCTGCCCACTCCTTACCTGGCTCCTCTCCACTCCTCAGCCATCACCTGCTCCTTCCACATCTCCAGCGTCCCTCCCAAACTCTGGGAGAGGCTGGTTAACGCCGGCAGAGCACAGCAGGGCCGACAACACGTGCACGGGGTAAGAAGCACGCTGCTATCTGTAAAGCACAGCTTGAAATTCCTTATTATGTGGCTTTAGTTTTTTTTTTCAGCTACATTGGCCAGAAAACAAAGCTCATTTTGTAGATATAGGTTAGTTAAACTCCCATATTGGAGAAAAAGGAAAGAATTTGCGATTATTTGCATTGATTTGCATGCTGTGTCATTTATACATTTCTCTCCATTTCTAATTCTAATTTAAAATTTAATTTGAGGATAAATCCCTTGAGATGTCTTGTTTTCAAGGGGGGTTTTCGGACACAAAAACAGAGCAATTTCCAGACATTACAAAAAATAAATACATAAATAGTAGTAAGGATAATACATTAAACTATTTAAATGACAAAACAATAAACATAGTAACACAAAGAATATACACATAAGGGCTCTCCCATAATTTCAAACCACACACTACAGCTTTGTCATCTGCACACAATTAAATTCTTGGCACAATAAAAAAAAAAAAAGGCTGTTTCTCTTGGCATCATCAAAACACTGCAAAGATTTGTTGCAGGAACTTTATTTCTTTTCCATGTATTATATATTTGAATTGATTTCTGCAACATTTGACACCATGTTATTGATGGACTGCTGACAGGACACTATGAGCGACAGGATTATTCTGTAAATTGGTTTATTCATGGCAGCGAGGATATTCAATTACAGGAAATCCAAGATGCATGTAAGCAGCTTAACCTGAGAACAGAGTATGGCCAATTGCCACGCTGTTCAAATGTAACACTATATCAACATTAAGCAGTGTATATACTTTGTAAATACAAACCTGCATCCTCACAGATTCAAGTTACAGGATTTTATTTGGATTTCTACCAAATGCCTGTTAGGTATCATATCAAAACTCAGCTACTGCCTCTGGTCGTGAATGGAGAGCAGCATAAATGGCTAATAAGCAAAGTGAAACCATTGTGTTCAAATTGATCCAAGCAAAGGATATTGCACTTAACTTGATGTTATTACTCATGCTGCGAATGCGAGTACAGCTATGATGTAACCAATGGGAGTGTGACCATCACAGCCCGCTGGTACTGTGTTAACTTTAAGAGCAGGTGTAGGCTTTGCAATGGCTTTTTAACACAGATCAGCTGTTTGATCAATGGCAGATTAGACTAACACACACACACACACAGACACACACACACACACACAGCTGGTACACTCGTAAATCATCTCTGTCTATCTGTGCGAAGCCAAACCAGAGACACAAAAAAAAAGCACTGTGAGTTTTGTGTGTTTCTGTGTACACAGCTGTGTGTCAGGGCCAGTACATGAGGTTATTGTAAAACAGAAAGAGGAATTCGTTTCTCTTACAGCTTTTCAGTATAATATGATTTCTAACTTTTCTCCAATCTTTGTCTGTTTTTGCAGAGTTGGCCGATATGTGGAGGGAAGAACCTGGCACCTCAACCCAAACAGCAGGAGCTGCTGTTGACAGGGTATCCGCACCTACAAAAACACACACACACACACACACACACACTAACATTCACACTGCATCCACACTGCAGGTGCATCCAGTTTTCAGTTTTCTTTCATGACACAAACCTGGCACAGGTCTGTTTCTTTCTAGTAAGTAAAACGGCTGAAAGCCGAATGGAGAGTTTTTGTTTCCGATGTGAACCACATGGATATCCTGCAAGGAACTGGAACTACTTACAACTTGTCCTCAAACCTGAAACCAAAAATGTGTCAGCATTGCCATGGCAAAAAGGAAATCCTGTGACAGTTGGCAGTCTATGAATGCCAACTACAGATGTTTGGCAGAGCTAGCATTAGCACAGAGCACAATAAGAAACTAAATGGAGGGATTACCATGACATTTTGGTGCAGACATTCCCCAGAGGATGATTGTAATAGCTCTGGAATTCAAGCGCCATAAAGTTAAAATGTATCTTTGATTTACCAAATACCTGCAAAACTATTATATTTCTGTCATCCTCAGCTGTACTTTGCTTAGAGTGATAATTAGCACATTTTGGGATGTTAGCATTTAGCTGAAAGCACCACTGTGCCCGAGTACAGCCTCACAGATCTTAGTCTTGTTATTAATGTAAATAATAATAATTGTCAGATAGTTCATTCTAATTCAACAACATTTCTAGTTGGAGAGTATATTGGAAACATCTTTCAGTCTAGTGTAATGCAGTATAATTCAAAACCACCAAACTGGCAACCTATGTGCACACACAGACCTGCACAATGCTTTTACAGCCCATTTAATTAAACCATGATTGTATCTTTGTAGAATTATGTCTTAAAATCTTGTGTGTTTACAGACATGAAGACGGCACTGTGCGTTTCTGGGATGCATCAGGTGTTGCTCTTACTCCGCTGTACAAACTCAGCACGGCCAATGTCTTCCACACTGACTGTGACCCTAGTGACGATCCCCAGGACCCTAGCGACGACCCCGACATGCAGCAGGAGGAGGAATGGCCTCCTTTCAGGAAGGTGAGAACTAAGGAGAAACAAAAGGTCAAATGAAGTAATCTTAAGAGTCTTTCCTCTAGACATCAGGCACAGGATCTTATTTCACAAGCTGTGGGAATAAAAACAATCTGTGTTCACAGTCAGTCCTGTACGACTACATCTGTGGCCTAATTTTCTCATCTGTTGTTTTCATGTGTTTGGTTTTCAGACAGACCCACCCCATTGTTCCTGTTAATAAAACTCAACTCTGTAGGAACCGCAGTCTGATTCTGTTTTAACGGCCTGTTTTCTGCACAGAATTACATTTAAATGAACTGATTCAGCATCGGGAGGCAAAATTTCACATTGAGGGAATCTGACAGGACAGGAAATGGAGATGAGTCATGAAGCAAAACACTCGATGAATATTTAAATCAGCTGGTTCTACAGTTGGAAATGTTTTTCAGTGTTTGGGCGGATGACCAAGATAAGCTGGGATCAATAATGGAAATGAGAGTAGAAGCTAATCTTGAGTGATACATTTAACGGAGAAAAATAGACTAAATTAGCCTATTTTCTCCTTTTACTCTCTTCTTTTCTTCCTATTCACTCCCCCCACCTTTCCTCATGTCTCCTGTGGTAACAGAGCTGCATGTTCAGGAATGTGGCCCTCATATGGGATGAAGAGCCTTTCTTTTTTTCTCTCTCTCTGTAATGAAAACCAGACACATCAGCCCACTCTTTCTGTGCGTGTGTGCGTGTGTGTGTGTGAGAGAGTGACCAACTTCTCCTACTCCTTGTTTTGCCAAGACACAACTCCCATGTGAGAGGGATTTCTATTGGAATTCCTACTGTGTGTGAGAGACAGATTAATGCACATGTTTTGCTGAGTGGGGAAAGGGGGGGGATTGTCCTGGCATTTGGTAGTGAATAAGAAGAGAGGGGCTGCCGTTAGAGGAAGAAGGAGAGCCTCAGGAGGGCATTTTGACATTGGGTCTGCCTGAACTGAATTAGTTTAGTCGGTTCAGATCAGAGATTTAGATTTATGTGACAAAACATGAGAAGAAAGTACGAGTAATGAGGACCCATGTTAATAAAATCTTACCTGTGTAGAGTGTTGTCTTTGCATTTAGTCTGTCAGTATCAGCTTACGTGTGTGTGTGTGTGTGTGTGTTTGTGTGTAGGTGGGCTGTTTTGACCCGTACAGTGATGACCCGAGGCTGGGCATCCAGAAGATCAGTCTGTGTAAATACAGCAACAAGCTGGTGGTGGCTGGAACTGCTGGACAGGTAAATACGTGCATACAGTAACACACATATGCAAGGAGCTCTGTCACACACTATCTTGGGTTATTTCTAGAAGACACAATACATTGAGTGTTATTCTGAAGACTGTTGTATGTGATTTAAAACCTGAAAATGCTTAAAAGCATTTTAATAAATTACACATGTTTAAATAGAATTAAAATGTAATTTGAGACATTATGGTGATTATATAATCAATTTTGTGAGATGAGTACTGTAAAATTTCACATTAAGCTGGTGAGATATCTCGTACATGCAGTAGCCACACACCTAAATAATGCATGTTAATACAATGCACACTTTGCCAGCTAATAATAGACCAATCATATTCGCAGCATGCCTGTGTACGTGTGTAATTTACTGTATTATTTGCTTGCCAGCAGTTAATTTGCTAATGTTAACTAAATAGCCTCGTGTTGCATTTTCTCTGGATGAGGTGAGGCTGGCTGATTAACTTGGCAGACAGAGAGTTGCAGCTGCAATCACACAAGCACTCTCACACTTCATAGCAGCTCAGCTGTGATGGTGGAGGTTTGTTATTTCCAACAAGACCTAAAGTCCCTACTAACTGTATTTAAGTGCTTATGATCCCCACAATAAAAGAAAGTGTTGGACTAAACGAGTACAAATCAGCATACTGACAGTTTTGTTAATTTAGCAGTAGTTGTGGTGACAATAGGGGCGCCCTGATAGCTCTCCTGGTAGAGCTGGTTCGAGTCCGACCTGTGGCCCTTTGCTGCATCCCATCCTGTCTATCTTCAGCTGCCCTATCCAATAAAAGGGAAAAAGCCCCAAAAGAAAGAAAAATGTGAAAATGTGACACAATAGAACAATCGTAGGGTCAACATTACCAGGGCTCATACTTTTGGGAGCAAATTTCCTGGCATTCAGCCCTTTAGATTAAGAGATATCTTGTGTGCAAAACATGATATTTTGACTGTGGGTGATGCTAAAAGAAAGCTCAAAGTGTACAAATTGAAAGTTTTCATACCCAGTGGAGCATGTGCATTTCATGACAATCTCGCCTTCAGATTCTGATATTTCTGTTTATAAGTGGAAGTTTTGTCCTGATAGTGGTGCTAGAGGGAAAAGTTGGGGCCTCTGAAAACATCCATCCTTTGGAGACCATGAATATGGATGACTATCATGAATATTCATACTAAATAAAATATAATTTTTTCATGGACTACAGCACATTTAGAAAATCACATAGCTACTTCCTGCTAAATGAATATTCGGGGTCTTTGAGCACTCCACAGAGATAAATAAATGTCCAGCTCTGACAGAACTGATAATAAACTAACTATTATTAATACTTTTTACAAGCTGTAAAACTAGCTCCACCTTCCTTTACTGCTGCCCATTTAAAATTAGGAGGGATTTGATGTTATGAGATTTCATTTTGTGGTTAGGCATTTCCAGGGCACTCAGTCTTCCACTTTATAGAGAAAAGGAGCTCTTTTATGTGATAATTATTTGAAAAACTGAGTCATACAAGACAAGTGTGTTTTTGTAATGGTCAGTTCCCAGTTGTGATGACAGAAAATACACAACACAGCCATCCACCCAATAACTAACTGCAACTGATGTCTCTTATGTTGTTGTGTACAAAAAACCCCATGTACTTAGGGAATAAAGAAAACAATGTTTCTTCACTACCTCCATCTCTCCAGGTGATCGTTCTGGGTTTGAGCGACGAGCGTTCTGACCACCTGGTGGACGTGTCTGTGGTTGATCTGCTACAGGACAGGGAGGGCTTCACCTGGAAGGGCCACGACAGACTGGAGCCGCGTCTTAAACCCGCCCCCTTCCCCCCAGGCTTTCAGCCGCTAGTGCTGGTGCAGTGCCTGCCCCCGGCCTCTGTAACGGCGGTGGCTCTGCACGCAGAGTGGAACCTGATCTCCTTCGGGACGAGTCATGGATTCGGCCTGTTTGACTACCACAGACGAAATGCAGTGCTGGCCAGGTTAGGTGCACACACAGCTCAGTACAATAACACACATGAGGCAATAGTCAATGACAGTGAATGAAGTTAATACAACCTAACAACATTAATTGCATTTCTTTTGGCCAGTGCCAGTTAAAAAAACAGGCGAGGGCAAGCTGACAAATGTACAATATTGCGATTCAAAAAGCATCACCATACTGCTCTTTATGTTCTACTAGGTGCACCCTGCACCCTAATGACTCCTTGGCAATGGAGGGCCCCCTTTCCAGAGTCAAGTCCTTGAAAAAGTCCTTACGACAGAGCTTCAGACGCATCCGCAAGAGCAGGGTGTCGGGGAAGAAGCGCACCATTACCACACCCACCAGCAAGGTAAAGGACTGTCTCTTTTTGTTAGAGAGAGGGCCACAAGGAACACATGGACTGAATTCAATTCAGTTCTATTAAATTCAGTTTTATTTGTATAGCGCCATTTCATAACAGAAGTTATCTCAGGACGCTTTTCAAATAGAGTAGGTCTAGACCATACTCCTTATACAGTTATTTACAGAGACCCAACAGTTCCCACCATGAGCAAGCACTTGACGACGGCTGTGAGGAAAAACTTCCTTTTAAGAGGCAGAAACCTCGGACAGACCCCGGCTCTAGGCAGGTGGCTGTTTGCCTCGACGCCAAATTAAGTTGTGCATTTTGGGACTGTGTTATGTGCAGGTCCAGGAGGCTAACGCTGCTCTAGCGGAGCAGGAGGATGTGGCTCCGGTGCAGCGAAGGATTGAACCCCGGTCAGCAGACGACTCGCTGTCTGGAGTTGTCCGCTGTCTCTGCTTTGCTGACACCTTTCTACGTGATGGTGCGTTTACTTACTTGTTGAGATTATGAAATGAATGTGGAACAAAACTCAGCATTTTCATCAAACAAACGCTAACACTATGTTCTGTATTACTGTATCCCTCAGGTACACATCACGGCCCCACGCTATGGGCCGGCACCAACTCGGGGAGTGTGTACGCCTACGCTCTGGAGGTGCCTGGCGTGGGCTCGGGGCGTGTGTGCGAGCGCGGCGGAGCAGGCGAGAGCAGTGTGTGTGTGGAGGCCGTGTTGGGTAAAGAGATCCAGCTGATGCACAGGGCCCCCGTTGTGTCAATCTCTGTGTTGGATGGCCGGGGGAAGCCATTACCTGACCCGTATGAAGCCTCCCAGGACCTCGCCATCGCGCCGGATATGACCAACGCTCACTCTGTCCTCATCGCCTCAGAGGAACAGCTGAAGGTAAAGGCTTTGTTCAATTTATTTGGAATCACATCATTTAAAAGTCACCATAAAAGGTTGAGCCAGGGCTCGAGAGACTGTCGAGGACTTGGTGATGTTCCCGTTTTAAATCCACTCTCCCCTGGTCCAGGTGTTCTCTCTCCCCAAGGTGAGCGCTAAGACCAAGTTCAAGCTGACGGCGCACGAAGGCTGTCGGGTGAGGAAGGTGGCCCTTGTGGTGTTTGGCTCCACAGCTCAGGAAGACTACAGCGAACACACACTGGTCTGTCTGACCAACCTGGGCGACATGCACCTCTTTAACATACCTGCCCTTCGACCTCAGGTAGGATTTCATGTGTGTGTGTTGGAAGTCTAATTTGGACAGCAAGAGTGTGTGTGTGTGTGTGTGTGTGTGTGTGTGTGTGTGTGTGTGTGTGTGTGTGTGTGTGTGTGTGTGTGTGTGTGTGTGTGTGTGTGTGTGTGTGTGTGTGTGTGTGTGTGTGTGTGTGTGTGTGTGTGTGTGTGTGTGTGTGTGTGTGTGTGTGTGTGTGTGTGTGTGTGTTAAACTGGCAATAATAATATTATGTGGGTTTTTTATTTTTTTTAATTGGATTGATGTATTGGGAATTTTTGCCTGTTTTATGTCTATAGGTGCGCTACGACTGCATCCGTAAAGAAGACATCAGTGGCATTGCTTCCTGCGTCTTTACCAAGAACGGACAGGGTGAGGAAAACACTCCTAATCAGGCACTGAAAGTCACAACAAGGCAGAGCAGGGCGGGCTGGGTGAGGTTAAAGGCTCATTTAACGCAGATCAAACAAAAAATATTTTATACTTGCCCCACTGGTATCCAGTCATGCAGATAGTTAAGGTCTTTTTAGCCGTGGCTCTGAGATATCTGATCCTGAGACTTCTGCCATTAGCCCGTCTTTCCACAAATAAATAAACTACTACCAGAAATAATAAACAACACACTTCACTGTAAACAGTTTTTTTTTTTTTTTACGTTAGAAAATTGTTCCCAATGAGCTCCAAGCTGTAACTGTCTAATTGTCGTCTTTTTGTTTTTCCACACAGGGTTTTACCTGATCTCTCCCTCTGAGTACGAGAGGTTCTCCCTGTCTGCCAAGGTCCTCACTGAACCGCTCTGCTCTGTTCAGCTGGACCGACCACTAGAGCCCACACCTGCCAGGTAAAAAAAAAAAAAACACACACACACACAGCAGATCCTGTTTGGCAAAACTTGATCCTACAAAACCTACTACTACTGACTTACATAACATAAAAAATAGAATCCTCTTTCTCAATATATGTAATATTATGAAATATCAATGTAGTATATTGTAATATGACCTTAAACTGATTATACAGTCAGACAGAAATCTGTTGTTAGTTAATCCAGCAGATGAAATACCTGACAAATCAATGTATTTCATCACGTTTATGCAAAAATCACATTTTGCCTGAAGCCATACCTGCTCATTGATGTGCAACATCTTCCAGGAAACCACAATAAGCTTTTTAAGGACTCTTGGTGGTCTCTGGACCCCACACTGGAAACCACTACAAACCACTTTCTGTTCATAATGCTGTCTCTTGGGTTTCCACCAGCTCGAAGCACTCGGCTGCATGTGAAACCAAAGAAATGATACTTTTACTGTTATTGCTTTATTATTACTCCATCTACTGCCAAACCAAATGGTGTGTGCTCATCTGTCTCCTCAGCGATGGCACGACAACACAGCCGCAGGCCAACGGAACCCACAAGAACCAGATGGGTCAGGCTGAGGGTAGGTCTACACACACACACACACACACACACACACACACACACACACACACACACACACACACACACACACACACACACACACACACACACACACACACACACACACACACACGCAGGTTTTCTTTTTGCTCCCTCTCTCTCCTCCCCCTCACTTGTTATTTCTCTCCCCCTGTCTATTGTCCCTCTTCATCACTCTCTTCTCTCTCTGAACCTCTTAAAACCGTGAGCAAGCCTCCTTGCAGGGGTTACCCTCGGGTCTCCATGGTAACCATTGAGCATGCCCCAGTTGCCTCTCCTGCCCAGCACCTCCTTCCCTGTCAGGAAATGAGGATTGTTGTGGAGACCAGAGTAGGGTTTGTTTATCTAGTTACAAAGAATTAACGTTTACCAGACCTCTGTAGCCCACTCCTCATCTCTGCTAGAGGCTAGCAGCTTGAGGCTACGTTAGCCGCTGAATCTCCTACTGAAGAGTCGTTGGCACAGTTGCGTTGTTGGTATTGGCAGGTGCTGACAAGTAAGAACAATGCATGAAATAAAAAAAGTTGATATCTCTCTTCCTTTTTTAAGCTGTCCATCATGAGTGACAGTGTTTATAGGAGTGCAGTGCTAAATCGGAGCACTAGGTTGCAGCACAACACACTGTAAATACAATACTGATATATTATCAGCTTATATTCTATATACTGTATTGTTAGCAAACAGTTGCCCATTTACTGTACACATACAGCAAACACAAATCAACATTATCATTGATTCTCATTTTAGCCATCTTCATTTGTTTTCCAAATGCTGCTGTAGTCTCTGTTTTTGTTCATCTTTATTACAATTGCATTGTCGGGGTATCAAAGATATGACAGATGGTTTCATTGAATCCTCTGTCTAACCAAATTGTGATGAAGCTGTGTTTTTAAACCGCTTGTCAAAGTTTTATTCACTCAGTCCCACATTACTGGAAAGCTTTTCAGCTCCAGTTAGTCCCCACAGAAACATGCTGCAGCCCCTGACTCTGTGGGTTTCTCCCCCACAGGGCAAACAGAAGAGCCTCCGAGCGCCCTGTCCTCTCCAATCCTGGACACCCCGCTGGACTCCCCCCTCAGCTGCGCCGACCTCACCCTGGACTCCACCGGAGAACTCACTGTGGAGGATGTCAGGGATTTTCTAACGTAGGCATCAACATTTCTATGCACACATACACACAGCTTGCATTGTTTAAAATGTACTCAGCCTTTCAAGACACAATTAACTTGTGGTCTGTGTATGTGCCGTGCAGCACCGTCGACGAGGCAGAGAATAACCTAAAGAACATTAAAGAGGAGGAGGGACGCTCGACTGGCATCCTCATTAACTGAACAGGTGAGGAATATACACACAAACACAGGTGGGATACTTGTTACACTCGCTTTAATGCATATTCCTCCCTGAAGTCAGACAAACACTCCAGTATGAGCAGATGCATGAGCTCACACTCGCTTAAACACAACACTGCAGAATGGATAGACACACACACACACACACACACACACACCACACACACACACACACACACACACACACACACCCAGACACCTGTTTCTAATGGAGCCCGTCCAGAGTGTGCAAACTTCAAAGAGTTGTTCTGTCTTAATGCTGCATTCCAGTAACAAGCCCTCCACTCTCTTTCCCCTCCACTCTGTCTTTGAAAAGCCAGCAGAGCAGCAATCTTTTCCATTGAGGCCAATTGAACAGACGTAAGCTTCTTCACAGTGTGTCATATACTGTAGCTCAGGGTATTTTTTTTCCTCTACTTTCTTTATACTGTACTTGGAGATGGCCCAGGGTTAATTTGTGTAGCCTCTTAATTCACTGTACTGTTTATATTATCCACAGTCAAGTCTTATTTTATTCTTTTTCTTTCTTTTGTTGTTACAACCCTGCATTAGAACAGGTGACATTATCTACTTGACAGTTTTGCAATCCAATAATGGCCTACTCTTAACCTTTACTGCTCCATACAGATCACAGCTTTTATACAGCGGTTACCAGCTCATGTGCCCATGTGTTCTTTTTTAAAATAAAATATTTATTAGAGAAAAGAGAAGGGGAGCTTCTGGATTTGGCAAAAGCAAGAAGATCACAGCTGGAACGTGGTTGTGCAATGACAAAAACCAAAAAGTATCAATCATTAAATGTAGTGAAATGTGGGAGCTTTTCTCGGTATGAAGTAAAGAGTTTGTGGTTGTTGTGTACTCTGCACTAAGTGCACTCATCCGTTCGGTTGCATTACTGTCTGCATTCACAGGAGTCATAAATCAGGAGGTAATGCTTGCTGATGGTCTGTTTGTCAACAGGACCCTCCTTCAGTTTTAAACTCTCTGCTACCCTCTGGTGGTGCCACCAATATAGATAATACACTTTTAATACACATTCTGCACTTACTTTCAATTTATAAAAGATTACCTTGTATTTAGTAATGATATATACAGTTTTAGTCATTTATATGTTGTTATATATGTTAATTAGAACCGAAAGTAATCTGTTTTATCAAAATGTACAGCAGTTTACTTTCATATAAAAGTAGAACAGCAACAAATCCTCACATTTAAGAATCTGAAGCCAGGAAATGTTTATCATTTTCTTTGATAAATGACTCAATTACTTAATTATTAAAATGCCAGTTGCATTAATCTTCTGTTGACTGATTAACTGACTAATGGTTGCAGTAAATAACACCTGATATAGTATTTGCCAGTAGATGATAATTACGTATGTGTTAAATCTACTTTTATCATCATTTCACTCAGTGAATGATGTAACTGAAGTTGTTTTGCACTGTGTCACAGACTTACAGTGTTTTTGCTCATATGAACATACATACACAAGAGCAGCAGTAGATTTTAACACCAACAAACATAGTTTATGACATTTTGGTCAGAAGTTTAAAGAATTGCACCTTTCTTCCTGCTGTCAGTTATATTGTGCCGAAGTGTTAAAGTGTAAAGCCACAGAGTGATCAGTCTGATGGAGGCCATGATGTCACTGATTACATCATTTAGCTGTTCTCGGTCACTACTCTAGTATGTCTTGTTGTGAAAGTGGTGTTTTTTTTGCTCATGCTGTCTACCAATTGTTGTTGAAGTATTACAGGGAGGGGCTCAAGTGTTCTGGATGGACCGGATTTCAGTGCTGGACCACAAACATCTCCCATCAGCCTTCTGTGGAGCCCCCAGCCAGCACTCTACACTCTCCTGTTAGCCTGGCACCAGCTGGGAGGAAAGCCTTAATACGGACAAAGAAAGCAGCATGAAAGACTCTTGTTGTGGTTCCTCCTCATTGGAAGAACTAAATCTTCTTCTGTAACCACTTTGGAAACATGACATTGCCTCCCACATGGGCACACAGACAGCCTCTACCTTGCATGGCGTGGTGCCTGGATGGATTTGGAACTGATTATTCTGATTTCAAGAACTAAAAACTGGAATTTCCGTCATCCATCTTGTCTTTCTCTGTGCGATCATTCCTCCTTGGCCCTTTCCCCCGGTGACTTGACGGTCATGGGATGTGACTGTGGCTCAGCCTTTTGGAGGAAAGGGCTGTTACATTCTGCCTAGGAGACTTACCGGTGATGTTTCTGTTTTTATATTTCTATCCACGGTCTTTGTGGTGTGCTGGGATCGGTCTGAGGTTTTTCTCCCCCCATAGTTGGAACTGGAATTGGCAGTCGCCGAATATCCTTGTTGATTCCTCGTGCACACTAGTGGATGTGTTGGATTGTTCTGCACGCTGCGTAACACCACAACAGCCCTGCGAATGACCCGCGCTTATGAACTGAGGATGTTCAGCAGAGACTGAAAGGGAGCGTTTTTAGAGAGCAAGACTAGCAAATGAAGTATTTTGAGTATTTGTGTATTGAAAGCTGTAGCATTTGTATTCTTCCCCTCTTATGTGCCATTAAGGGCAGTTGAATTGCCTCACCCAGTGTCCTGTGTGAGGTGGTGCATTAATCAACTGTTTTCAAATCAGAGAGCCAGTATGTTACTACACACAAGCACATCACCGCCAAGGTTGAAGGAAGGAAGCTCTCTGTCTACTCTCTCGGTGTTGAAGAAAAGAAAGAGTGCCGGGGTTAATGAAGGTGGTTTATATTGCAAAGATTGATGCTTTATTAAATATGTTATGTACTGCTTTTGGAGAAAGTAAAGGTATTTTTAATGAAAAGTAGAACAGGGGATGTGAGAGGAGAGAATAAACACCAATTTCAAAGGGAACCAGCTGGTGAAGAGGGAAGGGAAGGTGGTTCTGTATATTTAGGACTAGAGAAGATTTAGGTGAAATAATATTTTTGACACTTTTCGAATTACCTTTATTGCTAAATGCATGACGTTGGAGTTTGACAAATACGTTCTTTATCTCTTAATTGTGTTTTTATCAGGAAAGTGCAAACTGGGCCATGTGTCACGTGGGGAGGGTGGGCCGCAACGTCTGGGCAGTGTAATACGGAGGTACACCGGTACGACACATCTGCAGTGAATTCTTTAAGCAGCCTTATATTCTGTGACGTCAGTGAAACATCTGTCAGCAGTGTTTGAGAATAAAATTTGTTTTTAATCCTCATTTTCTGCCCTAGTTTGGTCAAATTGGGACTGATAAAAATAAAAAGTTCTTGGTAGCTCAAAAAAGAAAAAAGTGGATGAAGGATGCGGCAAAAAGAAAAGCGTCTTCAGTTGAATTTCTCCTCCCTCCTCTGTTGATGTTACATCATCTCATGCAGAAATCTTTTTTTGACGGGACTCAGGGAAGTGTGTGGCAAGGGAAGCAAAGTCAGTCTGAATGCTAAAGTGTTATGTACTGTGTACTATGATGCACCCAGGAGATGTCTTTTCTTTTTTTTGGGGGGGGGGTCTGTGAATCGGTGCATTCTGGGTAATATTGGCTAGATGCAGAGGTTTGATCACCAGTATTTTTAACCCTTTTTAAAAAAAAAAAAAAAAAGTTTTACTGTGTAAAAACAAAAAATATATACAGTATCTATACCTAGGTTTACAGAAGACAGGTTTCTAACAGCAAGCCGATGATAGAATAAAATGTTAGAGCTAGAATTGGTTGTAGCCTAAAAAACGCTCAGTATTCAAGCTTTTCAATCACCTCACAAAAAACAGAATAAAAAGTAAAAAAGGGACCTCACTATTAACTAATGTAGCTCGACAGGTAGGAGTCATGTTAATGCTTTTTTACTTTTGTCTTAGCTTCTTTTTGGTGCTCTGGTTGACACACAAATAATTAACACTTTGATGCTACAGCTGGCACAATTTACCTTTTTAATTCCTCAGTTAAGATGAATTTGTTTCTACTTTGTCATTCAGTTTTGTGAGTAGGATTTTAATCGGGCCATTTAGCATTTTGGCTGATGAAGAATTGTGAATGTTAATAAAATTATTTACTCTCTACTCGTCTGCTGTGTGCTTTGGATGTAAAGTGGAGAGCACGTCGCTAATTTAGAATTTCACTCCAATAGCACTGTTAGACTCACAATGGACAGTAAAAAACAAAAGCATCACAACTGATGTAGCAAAACTGGAGAAACTGTCTCCAGATTTCTTTTATTTTCTTCAACATTTCCAACATTGACTCAAGTGACATCACTTAAGGCAGTTTATCAAAGCAGCTGCCTCTGGAGCCACAAAGCTGTTATGCAACTTTTTTGCATTAGAAATAGTCCACAGGATCTGTGAACACTGATGTGTAACATCGGTGGTGGTTAAACAACTTTGGAAATATGCTTACTCATTTCCTTGCTGAAAATGTAGAATTAAAGGACACCATGTCTGTATGGTAGCTACAGGCCGCAGCCAGTTAGCTTAGCTTAGCATAAAGACTGGAAACTGGCTCATTCTGAAAGTAACAAAATCCACTTACCAGCACTTCAAAAGCTCATCAATTACCATTTTATATTTTGTTTAGTTTGAATTGTAAAAACATTTTTTGCTGTTCCACTGGGGGTTTATGTGCTGTACTATTTCCTGGCTGGGACAGTTGCCAGGCAACCTGCAGAGACGGAAGTTACTGGTCCCAGCCAAGAAATGGTAACATCCACCTGTAAAACGATTAAGACTTTAAATTAAAAAAATTCATTTAAGATGCAGCAAAATCCCTGCTGCCCTCAAGTGTTTTTTTCATCATGTTGGCTGCTTCGCCCTCAGCAGTGAGTGCACATACTCTCACTGACTCTCCAGTTGTGTTTTTCCTGTTGGAAAACATACAGCAAATTCCCAGCATAGCTCCACCCAGAACACCTGCATATGTGTGCAGGGTCTTTACATTACAATACAACAGTGAAAAAAAGGAGACCAGATGACAAAATGTGATGTGTGATTTTATTTTTATATAAAATACATAAATAAAGCATCTGCAGTGGCATCAGGAGCATGTGCACATATTCATATACCCACATACATATGCGTGTAGGACTCAAACACACTACCAGGCATACAGTTCACCCCACAAAATATGGTATAAAGAAACTAAATGATAGTTGGATGGTAGTTGCAGCCATATGAGAATACATAGATATCTTTCTTGGATCAATGCCTGCATATTACACAAGTCACGTGATCACAAGAAGCACTGCAGCAGTTCTGTAAAACGCTGACCCCGGAGGCACTGATCAGGAACTGGTTAACTGATCGTAACTCATCTGTTAACCATACAAACAAACTGAGATCAGTGGAACCAGCTTGGTTACTATATTTATTGTAAGATATGTCTCTCACACTAAAGTCTGCAAATAAAGTTTTGTTCCAAAGACAGAAACATATTTGAAAAAGAAAATAAACACCTTTAAATGTCTAAACTGACTAAACTGTACTGAATTTTAAACATCATGCATTTACTTTTTCAAAGATGACACTACATTTTGGAAAGAAACTCCACTTTTCGTATCCTCTACTCCAGAAAAGAAAGAAAATAAACATTTTGACTAGTTGAATGCGTTCTGTAACGTAGAAGAATTACAGTATTATTTAATTTCAGTATCTCCCGGGCTCTACTGATTGCACATTTAAAACCTCTGTCCTTAAACATAAAACATAAAACAAGTCTCTGTCTCACAGTCCCGAACTTGGTCCGGACCTCCGCTCAACATTTCTTTGGCCAAATAGATTTAACTGTTGAACTTTTCATATGGCGAAGCAAAATCCTGTCCAAAGCATCTTTACACGAAAGTCATATTTAGTAGATTGAAACAGATCACTTACTAAAAGGTTTTGCTTTGCACTTGGATAGGTGGACAAGTTACAGGAGGTGAGAACAGCGAGCAGACTGACTGTGGGAAAGGGGCAATCCCCGTGTCAATGAAGGCGTATGGGGCACACACACAAACATACCATGTATAATCCGCACAAACAGAAAGGTATATGTATAAACCAACATTCCTCAGAAAAACAATTATAGTGCCGTTTTCTGCTCAATCCCTCAATGATGAAAAAAATAAAATAAAATACAAACTGTAAAATCTAACTTTTATTTGCCTTAAACTGCTTCAAATGAGCTGCGCAAAATGGCACTAACCGCAGGTTAGAGTGACTCCTGTAGTAATGAGCACTTCACCTTCCTCCATTGAAAACTACTGATCATGCAGCACAAGCCACATGAAAGCAGTAAAACAGATAGATATGTTACGGGATTGACCTCCCTTTGGGTTTTTATAAAGCCTCTGTACACCATAGACCTATTATCTTTTTATCTCAAAACAAAATTCTCTTTCTTTCTTTTAACAACAGTATTCAGACTGGCTGCTAAAAAAAGCTTGTAGAAAAAAAGTGATATTTTGCTGTTTGTCCCATAGACAGGAAAAAACCAACAGCTTCATGACCAGAAGAGCGTTCACTGATTGGGATGTTGTGCTAAACTCAAATCTGTCCAGATTTGTTCTGTTTTTGTAGACTGACTGACAGAAACATGCTGATCAGGAGGCTGTTGGACAGCAGCGCTGAGCAGGATGGAGCAAGGGGGGGGAAGAGAGCTCAGGTAAAGCTGGGTTAGGCATAGACATCATCATCATCTTACTGGTAGAAATTTACATGGCAGCGAATGCATCTGATGTATTTGTGAGCGTTTATGTGCGTGTTCGTCTATGCGAGAGTAGTTTTGAAAGCTCCCCAGGCGTGGAAGCAGCGCATGAAGCAGTGGGGCTCATTTCCCTTCCGCACCAGTCGCAGCTTCCGGGGTTGTTCAGCATCCTTAGAGCGCATGTGCTGGATGTAAACCTGGAGTGGGGATTAATAAAATGTGGATATAGAACACCAAAATGTTTGACCACAAACACACAAAAACACCTGATGGAAATGCACACGCACACACAAATGGCTCTTTGTCACTAACCTGGCAGGCTTTGAGACTCAGTTTGATCTCCACCTGGCTGGTCTGAGTGCCGACCCACATGTACACCTGAGGGAAAACACAGCAGAGACACAAAAGGAGAATGAAAAACAATTGCACAGTAATAAATGAACTGATGAATTCTAACTGCAGACATTCAGGCAAATCTGTCATCGTGATCAGTTGCTACCTCTTTGCCGTTGTCCAGCAACATTATGTCATCATCAGCCAAGTCGTCCTGACAGAAGTCCGAGCACTTCTCTGACACAGAGAAATAACCCTTCTCATTCGAACACCTGAGGATGGAAAGGACAGCGATTGGAGAGAGAGGAAAGAGAAAGAAGCAGATAGTGTTACTCACTACACACACACTTCTTTTATCTATAATGACTGAATAACAACTACATGTAAAACGGATAAAGCTGACTCACCTGAAGAGCCGAGCGTGTTTCATATAATCTGCATCTTCATCGTACTGCTTCTGAGACCCAATCCCAACCCAGAAGAAGTTCTCAGGCTCCTCCCCCTCATTAATTACCTAGAAGACAAATGATCAATTTATCATCAATAATCATTTTGACAAAATACACTTAACAGACATTAAAAAACAACTGAAGCTCAAGTATCTGTCTTCAGCCTTTACTGCCTCCCTTCATCAGTGCAAATACTTTCACTGAAGACTAAATTTAGACTAAAGGGTCTACATTTTCAGAAGAATTTGTTTTTTTCTTGCAGCTGAAAGTTTGTTATAACATTTAAAATAGTGGAAATATTTTTAAAAAAGTTCAAGTGGCAGTGGAAAGTTTCAGTTTAAATGTAAACACTGTAAGTGCTGAGTAAAGTTGTGTGAAGTGTCAGCTGAAGTGAAAAGTGCTGAAAGGATTTGATGATTCACTTGAGATTGAAGAAGAGGAATTGAAAGTGTAATAAATGGTGCCACGAGTGTCAGCTGAAGTGTAATTAAGAAGGGATGAAAGCTGTGAAACCTTCAGCTGACATATAAGTGCTGAAAGCGGTTGCTTTGTCAGCTGAAGGGTTAAGAGACTACCGCATTATAATTCTCGGTTCAGTTTATGTGCAGCGATGAAAGGAGTTGAACTGGAGTGACAGAGATGGTGTGTGTGGTGTGTGTGGGGAATATATACTTGAGAGTATTTCCTCAGTTCCTCACAGAATGAGGATGACAAGGCATTTATATACATGAATGTAGGAATATTACATTCCTACTAAAGGCTTACATACGTGCTCACATATACGTGTACGCATTTACCTGTTTGCTGTATGTGTCATCGAACATGCAGTTCATAATGTCCTCAGCCAGTTTGGCTTCATCAGGGTCGGCAGCTCTGCCCACCCAGGTGTAAACAATGCCCTGATTGTCTGTGCTCTCAAATGGTACCTGCAGAGAACATACACCGTTACCCACAAACCACTGAGAGGACTTTATTTAAATAGTACAAAAGTAGAAGGAGAAACAGGGGAGAAATCTCTGCTGGAAGTTCATTCATATTATTGTTATATTATTATTACTGTCTGATAAAAAAAAAAAAAAAATCACAACCTTGAGGATGAAGCAAAACTCGGAGTTAAGATTGCTAGAATCTGTTCCAATCTGGATAGTCCTGAGAGAGAGAAGAAATGTAGAAACAAATTGCTTAAAAGACTTCATCTATGAAAATATCTCTGGAGGACAGAAACCAGTGCTTGTGACAGTGCTGCTGTGCAATAATAGGTGATAATAGCACTGTGTGTACCTGGTGCAAAGTGCGCTGCCATTGGTGCGTATGTGGTAGAGGGAGGGCTGAGCTGCATCAGTCTTCTGTTTCCTCTTCCCTTTGTGGATGATGAACTTCCTCTTGAAGTGGGACAGGAACTTGAGGTTCTCCTGCTGCTGGGTCATACGCACCACCTAAACAGAGAAGCTATGGTGGTCAATTCAGCACAATACTGTGGAAACCACAAGCAGAAGTGGTCAGACTTATACTGTGACGTACATATGACGGGAATAAAAAGCATTTTATGAAAGAGTGTCAGAGAATGCGTTCAGATCGATCCAGATACCTTTAGTTTT